GGAAGTAGGATTGCCCAACCTTCCTTCCGAGGAGTGGCTGGTGGGTTTGAACTGCCAGTCATCTGGTTAGCAGGCAAGTGTCTTAGCCACTATGCTAGGTGAGCTTATCCATCCTTAATCTCACATCCTACTCACTCAGACTTGGGGAAGGTGAGGTTGGAAGGTCCCATGGAAGACCTGCCCTGGCCCTTAGCTTGTCACAAGCGCACACTGGGATGAACAAAAGCTTACCACTGACATTGACCTCCTCCAGACTGCCTCTTCCCACACCTCCCTCTGCTCATTTCTTTTGGCTTTCTTGGCCCCTGACAACCCTCCTGACCCTGTGCTTGGCTCCCACTCTTCTCCCAGCTCCATCAGTTAACAAAGCAGCTCATAGCTAGCTCTGATCAAGACACACCTTCCGATATTTGGTCTCCAGCTCCCATACCACCATGTCTTTTAGAAAGGAGCACCTGGAGCAGATGCCATCAGTACCCCGCCATATGCCCTATTTCTGGGCATGCCAGCCTGCCTTCTACCTCCAACATCCACAGCTATTTGCCTGAGGACTTTGGCTACTGGAAACTACCTGGTTCATTTGTACAACAGATGAAAGTGCCAGGGAATTAACAACCCATTGGGAACAGCCTTCAACAAATGACCAGTGGGAATTGTTGGATAAGTACCCAAGTTCCTGTGCTGCTCCGAGGCGATGCCCCTGACACATGTCCTCTCTTTGTTTCCCAGAGTTCCCAGCTCCAGTTGTCCACAGTGGATATGTGCTAGGCAATGCAGCACGGATTGGCTTCCTTCCTTTCCTGTGTTGGCTCCTCACATTCCTACTGACATTTTTCTGGGATTGCCTCCTAAATAATCTATCAGACTCAGAGTTGGCTTTTGGCAGAAACCAAAATAAGACAGTGTCCCACTTCAGGTCAAGTGGAAACAGCCTTTGAGGTTCAACTCTTGGCAGTTTCATCACATCTGTCTACACTGTAGGTTGGGGACTGGGGAGGACAGACACAGAATCTGGAGGGGGTGAGCGTCCTTCTCCCGTCCAGTCTCTGGGACTCACCCCTGTGATGGCGTGCCACAGTCACAGATGGGACACCAAATACTCCATCTGCAAGCATGTCCAGGAACAGGTCTTTCTTTTTGACAGGGTCATCGGTCCTACCTAAGTACTTCTCAGTGACCACTGGAGTCAGTTCCTCAGGGATGCCCTGAATGGATCAAGAGTGAAAAGTGACCATCAGCTGCTGCCCCCCAGTGAGTCAGTGAATAGTGTACCACTCCAGCCCCTTGAGCTCTCCCCTGGGGTGAGAAAGTGGGAAAGGCAGGGAGATGGGGGCAGAACCCCATCTCCTAGTCTTTGTTCAGCCATTTAATTGCTGTATGGGTTTGGATAAGTCCCTTCCCCTTTTTGGGTCTCAGCCCAGTCCCATGATTCACTGGACTCTTACAACAAATGGATATGACTTCCACAGGAGTGATGCAGCCGTCTTCTGGTCCAGTTTCCCTTCAGAGAGTGGGTAGCTCATCATCTGTTAAAAACAATTAAGCACCCATGAATCATCCAGAATTACCAGCAAGAACCAACCAACAAAACCAACACAGACTGAAGAGCCTCTTTGTTATGCTTTACTGGGCATGGACTTTGATGAACTGGACAAAAAAGTCAATGAATCAAATGGACTTTATTCAGAAATTCAAGGAGTACAAAGAGGATACGAAATGTTTCGTGTAAGCTGCCCCAATCCTTTGCTGTCCACTGTGACATTTATGAGGGTAGAATCCCAACAATGGTCAGTGGGTCAGAGAGGGAAGGCTGCAGCCAGGCTAGTGTTAAAGAAGACGGATTTCAAATGCCCTCACTTGCCCCAGATGGCTGAGGATGCCCACACTCCTGCCATTACAGCTTTGGTCTTTGGGACAACCTCTGAAATCCCTCTAAAGGGAAAGGCCTTCCTTACTTTTAAAAGTCAATTCTAACTCACAAGAAAGCATGTTTCTCTGAATCTTTCCAATTAGATTATGAAGAGCAAGTGCAGAGACTTATGGAGAAAATACGACACACCAAGCCCGAGGTAGAAATTCCGGGCCCAGGCCTAGCTCTCCCGAACTCCCGAGCCCCTTCCCTGTTCTAGGCCTTCGTTTTTCCATCTGCACCATTTTTATCTCTCCAGGTCCTCAGCATCGCCATTTCAGGATTCTTTGATTGGAAGGGCACAGACAGTGTTTGTGGCATGGGTTCCCCTGGGCAGCATCACCCATTTGGCCATCCCAGAGAAGGTTTCGGTGGCAATGTTAACTCACGCCCAAGGGGACTACTGCCTTCCACTCAAAGAGGGCTTGGTGAAGGGAGAACTCTTTCACCAGAAACGGGAGGGGTGGCGCGTGGGGGAGTCAGAGAGGCCTCCACATTCTTACTGTTGGAAGAATCCAACCAAACTCTTGCTTGTTGATTCCAACAATGTAGGGGACGGTGTTGAAATTCTTTTCAGCTATGATCTCTTCAGCTGATTTCGGCAACAGCACTCCATCAAGCACAGTGGGCAGGAAGGAAACGCTCTGGGGAAGACAGCAGAGCAGGGAGGGCAGAGCTGGGGGCAGTGAGAGGGGATGAGCAGCCCCAGCTCAGTGCCCGTCCAGAGAGGGCGTGTGGTTACACAGTGTGCGCTACGTGCATTATCTTGCTCCAGTAAAGAGAACCTCAGGGCACCCTTCCCTCCTCTCTGTTTCTCATACCCACATCCAGTCTGTCAGCAAAGCCTGTAGCTATTTCTTCAAAAAATACCCAGACTCTAACTCCTTCTCACCACCCCCTACAGCTACTTCCTGAGGTCCAGTCGCCACTTTTCCCTGTCTGGATTTCTGCAACACGATGGCCGCCCACTAGGCTCCCTGCATCTGCCTTTGTCCCCTCCCTGCAGTTTATTTTCAACACAGCAGTCAAAGAGACCCTTTGTAAAATCTAAAGTTATGTCACTCCTCTGTTCAAAACCCTCCAAAGGCTTCCATCTTGGTTTGAATTAAAATCTAAGCCCTTTCAATGGCCACTTCCCCCACTCCCACTACCTCTTTAGCTCCAAGCCCCTTCTGTCTCCTCCCTTGATCCACTCCAGTTAGTTGACCTCCTGCCTCAGGGCCTTTGCAGAAGCTATTCCCTGTGCCTGGAGCATACCTCCTCCAATTTTCCTGAGAGCTGGCTACCTCATCTCCTCTGGAATTGGCTCAAATATCACCTTCTCATTGAGCCTTTCCCTGACCTTCTACTTAAAATTCAAACCGACATCCTCACCGCAAGCTCTACCCCCAATTTCCTGAGTTATTTTTCTCCGTAATACTGACTACCATCCAACACACCATATATTTTGTTTGTTTATTATAATCTCCTAAATTGGAATGTTAGGTTCTAAGAGAGCAGGGACTTTTCCTTTTTTTTGTTTGTTTGCTTTGCTGCTTTATCCTCGGTTTCTAAATCAGGTCCTGGTACATGTTGTTGTTGCTATGTGCCGTCGAGTCGGCCCTGACTCATAGCGACCCCTCCTTGGGTTTCCGAGGCAGCATCACTACAGAAGTAGCATTGCCCAACCTTCCTTCCAAGCTGGTACATAGTAGGTGCTTATTAAATAATCACTGAGAGAGGAATGAATTCCATTTAGTCCTCATGACATCATTCCTCAGGGAGCGAGTCCAGAGGATGGGATTTTAAGATGTTACAGAGGCAATATCACCAGAACCCGGCAACATGTTGGAAGAGGGGAATTGAAGAAGCCGGGGAAGATGCTGCTGACATTTCTAGCCTGTGTGGCTGGGAGGAGGGTGTGCCTAGGACTGAGATTCTTGGCTCCCTCCCTGAGACCCTTCAAAGAGTGCAGCTTGCACAGTTCACCAGCCCTGGGCTCCTAGGAGAAGAATTGGGCACATCACTGAAGGCTCCTGAGAAACCCCTCATCTAGATAACATGTCTGCCTCCCCACAGAGGAAGCTTCTAGCCTAGTCTCTACCCACAGGGGCATTATGGGAAGCAAAAAATGTAAATAAGAGAGGGTTAGGGTAGGTCCATAGGACACAGAACTGATGACTGGGAGCACTGGGCTGGAAGTCTAGAAAATGGGTCCAGTCCTAGTTCTAGCCCTCCTGGCTGTTTTATCCAGACCAGCCACTGCCCCTCTCTGAGCCTTGGTAAACACAAGGAGTTACTGTGATTCCACCAAAAGGAAAATTCTTTCATCTGCATTTAACTGGAGCTTAAAGGTGCCAAGGCTTAAAACCTATAATTAAGAAGCCAAAAGTCCTTACCTTTCTGGGGTCTCCAAGTAAATCAAGAGTGAACAAGTTCTGTGAAGACAGAGGCAGATCTTTTGTTAGGTGTGCATTGGAGTTATCAAGCTGTCCTTCCAGTGCCACCCTGGCTGGGCCAAAAGGAAGTGGGCAAGACCCTGGCTCCCCAGGGGGAGGGACAGGCACAAACAAGACAAAGACAGGCCCTGGTGACCCTGAGCCAGGGCCACTGGAGCTCTTGAGAGGACATTCCTTGTTTGTGCCTGCCCCACCCTAAACCAGTTTCCTCTTCTCCCAGAGACAGCACCCCAATTTTCTTTTAGGGGGCTTTCCTCTCCCTCACTCTTACTTCATTGGTCCAGGCATATGTAACATGGAGTGCTCCATCCAGCTCCCTGACCACAGTGATTACTTCAGGAATGGCACATGCTCATGTCAGCTCAACAGAGTTTACCCCAAAACTTCTATTGGAATTATTGAAAAAGGGACATTTCTTTCCACTAGAGTTTCTAAGCAGATAAGATATGTCTAGAGTGCTGTTGTTGTCTTTAATCCCACAGGGGACAAACCTGCCTGAGATTGAAGCCAACACTGAGTGTGTGGGGGCTGAGAGACAAGAGACAGATTCCCAGTAATATCATATAAGCACCTGGATCCAGCTATGCCTGAAGCTATCTACTGCTGCACTTTTCAGTTACTTGAAGATTCTGTTACAACATATATATTTTTTTTTTGCTCAAGACACTTTGAGATGAGTGTTCTCATCTTGCATTAGAAAGTCCTGACTCATAAGCTCACTGAAACTCACCCTACCTCATGGCTTTCTTTGGTGTGTGTTTACCAAAATTGCACTGATTGGAACATTACACTGCAGCCAACAGGCCTGACCAGTACTGAGGAAGTGACCAGTAAGGGTCCCTCCATTCTGAGTTGTAGCTCCAGCAGCTAGGCATGTGTGTGTGTGTGCACGCGCACATATGCACACGCAGCAGGAATAGTGGATAATCATGAAAGGCACCTCCACATGATCTCACAAAATCCCAGAAGAAGATTCTAGGGGTCTTACATCTCTGGGTTTTCCCAAAGTCATCAACTCTCCCTTCTAAGCTGGGTCTTCTTGTGCCTCATGAGAAAATTGCTAAAATATTTGTCTCTTTCCCAGAATCAGAAAACACTTGTGTGTTAATTCTTTGAACACTTTGGTCACCTTATTTGGTCTTGAGACATCAGGATCCAAGCTCAAAAGCCAGACGGGGCTCAATCCATTGGGATCTAGGCAGAGTCCAGCACTCTATGCCTGCCCCTGGGAAACCAGGAGTATCGTGAGCTCATGTGCACATGCTTCCCCCACAAAGAGAATAGCTTGGCTCTTGAGTCTTGAGTCTGTACTCTGGAGCTTTACTGTGATGAGATGCCATAGCCATCCATCAACAGTCATATGTCATCTTCTCTGTGAAGCATCCCTGCTGGTTAAAATGAATGCTTCCCCCTCCGTATTCCAACTACACCTAGCTCACTAAGTATATGGGTGTGTTCCTCCTTGCATAGTTCCTTGTGAGCAGGGAAACATATTCATGTCTGTATCATCACCTCTGACATCCCCCATATAGTTCACATGGATGGATAGATGGGTGGAAGGAAGGAGATGGTCAAGACATGGAGTATGGATGAATTGGATAGATAACTGGAGAGATGAATGGTAACTGGCAGGCAGATGATGAATGAATCATTGGTTTTTGGAGGGATAGATGATGGAGTGAAGATATATGGTGGCTGGATAATAAATGGGTGATAGATGGATTGATAATAGATGGATGTGAGGTCATGGATGGGTTAGTGGATTGATTGATATAGTGATGAAAGGATATTGATGGATTGGATGGAGTGGTGGATAAATAAGATGGTTAACGGGTAGATGGATGGGTGGACAGATGACTACCCTAGGACCACAATTGAGACAAGGTCTCAGAAAATCTAGAAACTTGGGTGACTGCTGAGTTATAATTTAGGTAGTTTCTAAATTAAGTAAGATAAATTGTGATAGCCTTTGTTCTTAAAAGGAGCTGTGGTGGCACAGTGGTTCAAGGCTTGTCTGCTAACTGAAAAGTCAGCAGTTCATATCCACCATCGGCTCCAAGGAGAAAGATGAGGCAGTCTGCTTTCATAAAGATTTACAGACTTGGCAACCCTACGGGGCAGTTCTACTCTGTCCTATAGGGTCACTATGAGTTGGATTCCACTCCACAGCAATTGTTTTTCTTTTGTTCTTAATAGTCTCATCCCCAAAATTCAGGATGGTGGCTATATTTAAGGAAGGAAGGAGGAGAATGGAATCAGAATGGGATACCAAGGATTTTCAGTAAAATCTGTAATGTTTAATTTCTTAAAAATATATTTGAAAGCAAGAATGGAAAAAATATTAAAGTTTGATAGAAATGGGGGATTATTACACAATTGTTCATTATATTGTTGATAGGTGCCATGGCGTTGTCTCTGACTCACAGTGACCATATGCACAACAGAATGAAACACCGCCCAGTTCTGCGCCAGCTCCATGATCCTTGCTATACTTGAGCCCATTGCCGCAGCCACTGTGTCAATCCATCTCGATGAGGGCTTTCCCTTCTTTCATCGACCCTCCATCTTACCAAGTATGACATCTTTCTCCAGTGAATGATCCCTTCTGTCAACATGACCAAAGTATGTGAGAGGAAGATTGTCCATTATATTCATATATTCATTATATATGATAATAATAGTAATTGTTCATTATATTACTATTACTATTATCACAGCTTTTATGACATCTGAAATATTTCACAATTAAAAAAGGATAAAATAAATTTCTATTCAGATCTAGAGGGTGACCTTTCTTCTGAGAGAAAAGAAACTGTCCCAGGTAGTTTTTCCAGGTAAGGGGGGTAGCTGAAATGATGAAGCCTGGGGCCAAGGTGACAGGGTGGAGCTTGTGGCCAGGAGAATGAATGCACCTACCATCTTTAGTGAGGTCTCCAAGAGTTCCTCCTCTGTCTTCTGGCGCAGACAGTGAACCATGACAGCAGAGGTGGTAGTTTTACACCCAGCAAAGATAGCAATTTGCTGCAGAAATCACAAGTTACGATAGAATTCAAGAGTGATGTCCTTTTCCTCAATCAATATAGACACAGTGTACTATCCCCACCCCATTTATGAAGGCAGCACAGGATAGCAGAAAACAGACCAGCAGGTATAGGTCCTGGGTCCTAGTCTTGCCTAGTCTTTGAGTCAAGTACTTATCTTCTCTGTCTCTGTTACCTTAGCTGAACCAGTTATCATCAAGTCAGTTACACCTCATGGCAACCCTGTGTGCTTCACAGTAGAACTGTGCTCCATAGAGCTTTTAATGGCTACAGTCTTTCAGAAGGAGACCATAGGGTGGACTTGAACCTCTAGCTCTTGGGTTAGCAGCAGAGTGCTTGATCATTTTCAAGGGGGACTCCTCTGTTACCTGATCTCTGTTAAAAAGGGCATAATGATCTCAGAGGTGAATGTCTAAAGAGAGGCAGTGTGGAGTGGTGGTTAGGGATACAGACTCTCAACAACATTGTTTGAAGTCAAATCTCAGCTCCTCCACTAACTAGCCATTTGACCTTGGGCAAGTCACTCAACTACTCAGTTTGTCCAACCATGTCGTTGTGTGCCACTGAGCTGATTCCGATTCATAGTGCGCTTACATGACAAGGTAGAACTGCCCCATTGGCTTCCTAGGCTGTGTCTTTATGGGGACAGATTGCCAGGTCTTTCCTCTGCTGATCAGTTGGTGGGTTCAAGCCACTGCCCTTTCAGTTAGCAGCCAAATGCTTGACTATTGTATCACCAAGCCTCCTCAACTTCTCCACCCATCAGTGGGGATAATGGTTGGACTCAGCTCATAAGATGGGGCTTAACAGGGCTTTAAAGGGCACCAACACACACTAAGGCACTTGACTGCTAACCAGGAGGCTGGTGGTTCAAACCCACCAGCCACTCCTCGGAAGGAAGGTTGGGCATTGCTACTTCCATAGTGATACTGCCTCGGAAACCCAAGGAGGGGTCGCTAGGAGTCGGGGCCGACTCGATGGCAAATAACAACAACAACACACACTAAAACATGTGCAGAATTATGGGAGGTCCAGACAAGATAACTCACACAAAGGTACCTCAGAAAATACAGAATACTATTTAATATGAAGCCTAAAGGAAAATGGCATGGCATCCATTCCAATGCACAGCAGATGTTGCTTCAAAGTTAAATAAGGTATTTATGCCATTGCTAGGAGTTTACAGGGAGCTCTGGTGGCGTAGTGCCTAAGGCACTTGACTGGTAACCAGAAGGCTGGCGGTTCAAACCCACCAGGCACTCCTCAGAAGGAAGATGGGGCAATCTACTTCTGTAGTGATACTGCCTCAGAAACCCAAGGAGGGGTCGCTGTGAGTCGGGTCCGATTCAACGCACATAACAACAACAACAACAATAGGAGTTTCCATCTGCAAATTCATGTATTAGAGACCCAAATTATAACCTGATACTTCTCTCTAGGGCAAGGTGAACACAATTTCTTTTAAAGGGCCAAACAGTAAATGTTTTAGGCTTTGTGGGCTATATGGTCTCTGTTGCAACTACTCAACCTTGCTTTTGTAGTGAAAAGCAGCCAAAGACTGCTTCATTTCATATGTAAATGAAGGGGTGTGGCCATTTCTATTAAGACTTTGATTTGTGGACACTGAAATTTTAATTTTGTATAATTTTCATAAGTCATGAAATATCCCACTGTTTTTCTCTTTAGTTTTTCAATTATTTAATAATATAAAAATCATTCTTAGCTTATAGGTCATTTAAAAAAAGTAAACAATGGGCCAGTTTCTAAGACAAGCCACTGAGAGGCCCAGATTAATGCTTGGAAACCTGTGGGCACAAGCCCAGAGCCCCTTTCCCTCTTTACAGATTAATAATGAAGAAGAAGGCCCTGTTGAAGGAGAAGCTCCCGTTAGCCCGCTTTAGAGTTGAGCTCGTCTGCCCAGAACAGCTTTGCCCTCGAACTTTTCAAAGAATAGTCCCTTCTTCTGAGCCACAGGATTCCCATAGTGGCTTCTGAAAGCGATGTTCGTATAAGGTAACACTCTCTCCTAATTCCATTTGACGAGACCAAGGGTAGACATTCAAACAAAACTAGGACAGAGAACATCTTTCCCAAGTGATCTGGGATTGTGGCTGAGAGCTTCAAACATGAAAATGCTAAAAAGCTCTAAAACAGAGGAGAAAGCCTGACTCCTTTCTGGAATCAAAGGGGAATTCTTAAACTCAGGAGCAGATGGAGTGGCCATGTGAACTGGAAGCAAAATGTAGCCAGAGAAGAGGCAGATGGATAGAAGGCAGGCTCCCTGATGGTGGGGCCATGGGAGTGCACGCTGGCTCCCCAGAGCCCAGTACAGTGCCTGGTACAAAGTCAGCACTCAGTGTGGATTTGTTGAATAAATCAAAAGGCACAAGGAGAAGTATAGACACAGAGAGAGAACGGCCCAGGAATGCCAAGGATTGCCAACAACTACAGAAGCAGAAAGAGACAAGGATTTTCCCTCGGAGACAGAGTACCTAGCCCAGCCGACATCCAGACTTCAGATTCCTAGCCTCCAAAACTGTGAGACAATACACATCCCTGTTCTTCAAAGCCAACCCCTTGTGGCACTTTTTGTTACAGCAGCACTAGCTACCTAAGATCTCGAGCGAGTGTCACTGTCTGTCCTACCCAGCCATTCTCATTTCCATGATTCTTTGAGGATGTCCATCGGATCTTTGACAAGAAAGACCCCTAAGATCCCAGGAGAGCGGAGCAAAGAGTGCAGGCAGCTATCCAGAGTGAGACCCACCTCAGCTGTGGACCTGCTGTTGTTCTGGCACAGAGCAGCAGTGAAGACCACACCGCTCTCAGAAATGGCCCGCTGGAAGAGGTTCTTGGCCAGAGGAGATAAAACCTGTGAAGGGAGTGGAGAGGAGGGGAGTTTATGTTCACTGGAAGGGCATCAATGACACATCTGTTCTTCCACAGCTACCTCCATCCACAGCTGTTTCCTAGCCCATTGCTCTGAAGGCAACTCAAGGAGGTTCAGGAGGGCATAAGAGGACTCAGTGGACGTAACAGCTCCTTGCTATCCTGGGCTGTTCCCTAGCCTGGCCCAGGGGTCTGGCTTTGCCAGAAGAACCTCAGCAGGGTGGACCAGGACCACAGGTTAAAGGCTGGAATAGAAGCATGGGGCACACCTGATTATCAACCAAGAGTACTCTGAAGGACAGCTGGGCAATTCCCAGCCAAATTTTAAAGACACTTTAAAGAGTTAGCATTTTCATGGCTCAGAATTTATCTTAAGCTAAACAATCACGGAGGCACACAAAGATGGATAAGGATGTTTATGCTGCAGTGTTTATAAAAGCAAAACATTGGCAAGAACCCAAGTGTCCGATATTGGTTAAATAAATGAATTTGCATTATTATCATGAATGACCATGTAAACATAAAAATAATATTACGGAAGAATAATTAATGCTGTTGCTTTTGTTGTTGTGTGCCACCAAGTTGATTCTGACTCATAGCAACCCTACAGAATGGGGTAGAACTGCCCTGTAGGGTTTCCAAGGCTGTAAATCTTGACAGAAGACTGCCTCATGTTTCTCCTGCAGAGGTGGGTTCAAACCATCAAACTTTTGGTTAGTAGCCAAGTGCTTGGTAACTGCATCACCAGGGCTCCTTACAAATAACATTATGGAAGAATGTTTAATGCTAAGGGAAATACTTATGTCATATTGATATGTAAGGGAGACTTTTTGATAGATACCAGTACGAGCTGCCCTCAAGTCAGTTCTGACTCATAGAGACCCCATGTGTGTCAGAGCAGAACTGTCCTCCACAGGGATTTCAGTAGCTGATTTTTCAGAAATAGATTACCAGGCCTTTCCTCCAAGGCACCTCTAGGTGGACTCACTCAAACTGCCCACCTTTTAGTAAGCAGTTGAGCCACACTACCAGTCTGTGCTCTCCAGGGACTCTTTTAGGAGCTCTGGTGGCATTTGACTCCTAACCGGAAGGCTGGCAGTTCAAACCCACCAGCACTCCTCAGAAGGAAGTGATACTTCCATAGTGATACTCCCTCAGAAATCCAAGGAGGGGTCGCTATGAGTAGGATCTGACTCGACAGCAGTGCATTCATTCGTTTCGTTCATAAGGACCCTTTTAGATAGATAGATAGAAAGATAAATAAAGAGAGAAAGAGATGATAGACAGACAGTAAGGAAGGAAGAATGAATGAATGAATCACAGAGAAAATACTAGAAAAACAGATGTCAGAATGTTAATGGTGAGTATTCCTGGGTAGTGCAATTGTGGATGACCTTTTCCTTCTTTGGATTTATCTGTACTTTTCCTTTTCCTCCACTTTAAAAAAATGTATAAAGATACCCCTCTGAATCTTCAACTATGAAACTAGCACATGTTTTGGAGATATGGTGACAGCTCACCATATCACCCTCTGCTCAACTGTGTGGCAGCTGGAAGCTTTCTCGCAGCTCCCAGCATCTTCTAATCTAGCTCATCTTAGCTTCCCTCAGTGTCTCTCCAGCCCCAGTCCCACACCAGCCAGACACCCATGTCCCCAGATTTTGTCTGTGTCCCACATCCCCTGCCCCATCCCTCCCTGTCACCTCCCCTAGGCCACGTACCCCAGTGCACTTTTGTCCCTCAGTCCCAAAGACTGCTGTCCTCCCTCTTTGGCTTAGAGAAGCCATGAGACCACCTGAGACAAGGTTCTACCCTTTCTTGGTGCTCAGCTTCCCCTTGATGTGGATGTAGAACTGGTTTTAAACCAAACAGTGATACAGTGCCTTGCTCTTGTCCTCGCCTCCTCTTTTCCATAATGTATATCCACCCCTACTTCTTAAGAGAAGTGAGGCAAGTCCTGTCATTACAGAGGTTAGGAAAGAGAGGGAGATTAACCAGGATAGAAGAAGACAATGGCACAGTTGTAGGATGTATCTGGAGAGTCATGTATTTGGCCCCAGCGTGCTAAGCTGAGCTCTGAGCTCCCCGGACCGAGGACAGTTTGGTCATCAGCTCTCCAACCTCTGATGCCGTGCGGTGAGCAGGACCAGCACCGAATCCAGACCTTATAAGGAAATGTGTCTGTGGCTGGACTGGCTGGTCCACAAGGGGCTCATGAGCATCACAGCCAGGTGTGGGGTCTGGTGCCTGGATCACTTACAAGAACAGAGACACTTTCACCTCCTGCAGACTCTCCAAAGATGGTCACCAAGCCTGGGTCGCCTCCAAAGTTGGCAATGTTCTCCTGGACCCAGCGCAGTGCAGCTATCTGGTCCAAGTGACCCCAGTTCCCATAGCTGTGCTCATCCCCAGTGCTGTAAGAGAAGAGAGTGGCTATAGGGACAGAGATGTCACAGCAGAGCTCTTGGGAATGCAGATGGGGCAGGGGGCTCCAGGCGGGCCTCTCAGAATAAGACTGGGCTTCCACATCCCTGACACAGTGGTCTTCACCCACCTTCTCCTCCTATAGCATTGTTCTGGTTAGGACTCTACATCCATTCATATGGCAAAAATGTATGGACAAACCCTTAACTGCTGTGCTGCACATTAACTGTCATGATAGGAGAATATGCAAAGCGTTGAGATGAGCATTTTAGAGGCAGTAACATTTGGGCTGGGCTTTGAGGATGAATAGGAGTTTGTTAGGTAGAGTAGGCATTCTAGGCAAATGCAAAAGCTCAGAAGTAAGTGGACCAGTGTGGGCAGGGAATTGCGGGACAGGGGTGTCACTTATGAAGGGACTTGACTGCCTTACTAAGGAACTTAGCAAAGGTCTCCTTGGGGGCTGACTTGATCAAAACTAGGCCCTAGAACCCTTACTTGGAGGGCCAATGTGAAGTGGAGAGAGTCTGATATCTTACCTGAAGAATCCCCAGATCCCCAGGCGATACTGAATAGTCACCACCACCACGTCTTCATGGGCAGACAATGCCAGCCCATTGTAGGTTGATGCCCCGCCCACCAACAGACCACCTCCATGGATCCACACCATCACCTGGACAGGAGGAAGCAACCATACTGGTTATAAGAAGTGGAGATGGGCGGGAGTTGAAGAGGTTGTCTGGTTTGGCTACCTGTCTCCTGGCCACAACCCAAGGAAGCCATTGTCCAAAGTCCACAGAGGCCCCGGCAAGGTTGGAACCAGCTCCCTGCTCCCCTTCTCCCAGCTGGGTCAGGCCATACACCACTCAGTGCACCCTGGCTGTCCCCACTTTTCTCCCTAGAACATCAAGTGCCACCTGCACTCCAAGGCTCCTCATGATGCCGTGGGAAAAGCACAGGCTAAGTATCACATTGTCCCCCAACACTCTCATCGTCCTCCTGCCTGGACCACTCACCAGCTCAGCAGACACTCCATGGGGTGGCCTTTGTGTTACAGCCCTGCCTTACTGAACTCTTTTGCAGTGAACTGAACTTCTCCTCCAGAGCCAGTGATTATCTCAAGATGCCCACATGCTCCCCACGGCATCTCATCCTAATAGGCCTTCTCTGCCCCCTCTGCATCCCCAAATCCACCCGTTCTCCAAAGCCTAGCCTAAATTCCCCCTTCTTCATGAAGTCTTCAATTACCTGACTCACATTAGCTGAGAGCTTCCCAAGGGCCAAGGACTGTCCTAAGAATTGAAGATGAGAGTAGACACAACCATTCATAGCTCATGTTCTGAATTTAAAGAACTCACATAGCAGAGGAGAAGACTGAGTGGCTAAAATAATAATATTGTCAATAAAAAGAAGAGACACACTCATAACACAGACTGTGTGCCAGGTACTGTTCTAAATACCTTAAATCATTTAATGCTCAACAAACCATCCATGACGTAGGTACTAGTATTATCCCATTTAACAGATAGGAACACTGAGGCACTTAACTTGTTCAAGGTCAAACAGCTATAGGGGTAGAAGCAGGACCTGGACACAGGCAGTCCGGCTCCAGCGGTCATACGTTGAGTCCCACAGCACACTGGAGCCAAGGACCAGAGTGCAGTGAGCCCATTGTTAGAGTAGGAGTACGATCTTCCTTTCAACTCTAATGTTTAATGAACACCTGCTTTGTATACTTAGTCAGACACGACACTGAGATAAAAGCCTTATATTAATCATTTAATAGTCATAAGTGATTATTCCCATTTTCAGGAAACTGAAGCTTGGAGAAGTTGAGTAATTGCATGAGTCTCTCAGCTAGTAAGAGGCAGAACCAGGATTTGAACCCAGACCCTGTGGCTCCAGAACCTGTGTCCATAACTAGAGTCTTTCCTGCCTCCAGGTTCCCAGAGCTGTGTTTCTCCCACACCTCTGGTCACTGCCCATCTCTGGAGGTAGGGACTGACTTTATAGCCATCTCTGAGGAAAGGCCAAGCCCCAGAGCTGGTCAGCAACATTTTGTTGAAGAAGTATGTGTCTGTTCAGCCCAGATGGTGAGATCTGTGAAGGCAGGGCCTGTGTGGTAATGGTTTTATGTTCCTCCCTTTCTCTAACCCCCAAGCCTCATTATGTATATGGAGGGCCAACCAACCAGCTGCTATCAAGTTGACTCCAATTAACGGTGACCCCCTGCATGTCAGAGCACTCCAGAGGGTTTTTAATAGCTGATTTTTTGAAAGTAGATCACCAGGCCTTTTTTCTGAGGCATCTCCGGGTGGACTCCAACCTCCAACCTTTCGGTTAGTAGCCATGCACATTAATAATCACTTGCACCGTTTCATGTGGATGGTACTGGTCCATGAAAGAAGAATGAGTGAGTGAGCTTTGCCGCCACCTCCTTGGGCCTTACAAAGCATGTGCAGGGCCAACTTCCAGGCACTTGTTCACAGAGATCCTCCCCTATAACTGAGCATCATGGAGGGCACAACCCTGGGAGGCTGCCTGGGTGCTAGCACCCCCCCCCCCCCTTTCTCTACCCCAGGGATCATCTCCTTTCCCCAAGTAGCCATTGTGAGCCAGGGCCCCCAGCAGTGCCTACTCCCCTCTCCAGCCTCTGTTTGTCTGGCAGCCTGCCCCATCTCCGGGCCTCCAGAAATTTATTCCAGAAATGCTGACTCACTGGGCCAGCAACCTGTGCCAAAGAGAATTAGTGAAGGAAATTAGCTACACTAAAACCCCAGAAAGTAGGCCAAGAGCAAAGGAAAGTGCTTCTTGGACTGTGCCAGGCTCCACACCCTCATCTGTGTTATGGGACACTGAGAGTTGTCACAGGCAGATGCTGATGGGCTGAGGAAAGGCCTCACATGTGCTTGATGTCCTGTTGATGTTGTTATATGTCACCAAGTCAGACCCGACTCATAGCAACCCCTCCTTGGGATTCCGAGGCAGTATCACTACGGAAGTAGATTGCCCCACCTTCCTTCCCAGGAGTGGCTAGTGGGTTTCAACCACCAGCCTTCTGGTTGGCAGTCAAGTGCCTTAGGCACTATGCTATCAGAGCTCCTGCTTGATGTCCTAGTTCAGGTCAAAGAGCACTGTTTTGAAAATCAGGAGACTGTGGCCTGGTCCTGACAATGGACTCTGTGACCTTCCTTCCTTCCTTGGGGCTCATTCTCCCTACCTGTAAAGGGGGAGATGGAGTGTTCACTTATCTCTAAGATGCCTTCCAGCTCCCACTTTGTGTGAAATTATATCTTATTTGCTCTGGGTATCAGATTCCTAATCTAGCCACTAAGAGTAATCATTCTGGTCCTTCTATCAGCAGGAGGAACTTGGAAAGCTTACAGTGTCCATGAGAGTTGTGCAACAAAAGCCCTCAGATGCCATATATCACTGGGAGGAAACAGACATTGGAAAATATGTTGAGCTCCCCATGGTCACGCTGTCTGACCCTAGTGGGTCAAGAAAGCCCAGCTGCTATGGAGTCAACTCCCAACTCATGGTGACCCCACATGGGTCAGAGTAGAACTGGGCTCCACAGAGCTTTCAGAAGCCAATCACCAGGATTTCCTCTGAGGTGTCCTAAGGAGGCTCGAACCTCCAACCTTTCAGTTAGCAGCCAAGTTTGTTAATGATCTTTACCACTCAGGGACTCCAAAGGAAGCCTGGGACCCCTGAAATAACAGCCTTGACCCCTGATGCTCCCACCACAAGCTGCCTTCACCCCCTCCTTGTCTATGCCAGAAAACCCTAGAAAGATGGAATTCACAGGTCATGACCAGTGGTTCCCAGGGCTTACCGGCAGCCTGCTTTTCTTCGTTAAGTCAGCAGGAGTGTAAATATTTAGGTAAAGACAGTCTTCGGAGAACTTGAGGGGAACGCTCTCCTTGCTGGTGGCGAAGAGTTCCGAGAGCACCTGTCCTGCCACTGCATCTTGGGAGCACCTGGGAAGGGAAGGAAGAAAGAGCCACTGACCTCAACCAGCTGTAAGTGGGGTGATGTCTCCTGAGGGCGGGCTGGGCTGTAGACCGGGAAATTTAAGCCTGTATGTGGAGTTATTATCACCAGACTCTGAGACACTGGAATGGGTCAGGGGCTACTTGAGGGGGGAGGGAGAAGGCGCAAGAGGGGCCAGAGCAGGCAGTCTGAGATGCAGTATGGTACCCACTCAAAATGTCGTTTCTTGGAATTTATACTAAAGAAATATTGATGGCTCTGCACAAAGATTTAGCAACAGGATGTTCATCATAGTGCTATTTACTATATAGACATAGACACAGACATACGTATATACATCTATCTATCTGTCTATGCAATACCCCCAAATAGGAGACTGGAGAAATAAATCATGGTTCATGTACCTAACACAATGCAGCTATTAAATGTCAGAGTATAATATTTGATGACATAGAATAATGTTCAGCCTATCTATCTATAGATAGATAGATAGATAGATACACACACACACACACACACATATACATATATATATATATATATATATATTTTTTTTTTTTTCATTTTAGTGAGTGTGAACTGGTAGCTCCAGGATATACATTTAAGGAGCAAAACAGTCAAACTCTGCAGAGTAGGTTTCTACCTCAAATGGAGAAAGTACAGTTATATAACAGAGAAAAAAAAAACTAGAAAAATATGTTCCAATAAATTCACAGCAATTCTCTCTGGGTAGTAGAATTGTATATGATTTTAATTTTCTTGGGGAGCTCTGGTGGCATAGTGCCTAAGGCATTTGACTGCTAAGCAGAAGGCTGGCGGTTCAAACCCATTAGCCACTCACTGGAAGGAAGATTGGGTGATCTACTTCCATAGTGATACCGCCTCAGAAACCCAAGGAGGGACTCAATGGCAGTGAGTTTGGTTTTGATTTTTATCTCTATGGAAGTAGACTGCACAGTCTTCCATCAAAAAATAAAAATTATGAATGTTACTTTTTGAAAAGCAAAGAAAAAAGAAGGCAGTAAAAGAGTGGGCCTTAGAAGCTCTCAGAAATGTCTTGCTGGGTGGTGTAAGGTCTGCATTGCTGCATGTAGGCACCCCAGATCCCCAGATAAGGGATGACGCCAGCCAGGAAAGCTTTGTTCTTTTGCCCAGCTTGGTTGGTGACTGGGACATGTGGATCATTGCTTTGTTCATGAAGAGTCAGTGGGACACACCTGGGAGTTGATCATTTACCTTGTCAATACCCTGTCCCCACCTCCTCACTTGCCCCACCCTTAACTATGCCAGGGTCAAGGCAGGTGAATCAACAGCCTCATTATTTCTGATCCCTCTCATCCTGTGTGGTAGTTAAGGTCATGTGTCAATTTGGCTGGGCCTGGTTCTGAGTGGCTGGGCAGCTGGTTGTAGTAATTCCTCACGGTGAGATTGGTAATCAGCTCTTTGGTGGGCTCTGCCACGAGCAGCTGAGTAGCTGCTTTAGAGATGTGGTCTGCTTCCAGTATATAAGGAGAAGCTTTGGGAATGGTCTACAGCTTTTTAGCATGCTTGGACCCTGCATGTAACTGAGTCTTCATTTAGCAGCCTGCCATATTTCTGTTAATCTTGGGACTATTTCTGCACTTGAACTAGTGGCCTGCCATGTTGTTTGGTAATATTGGGACTGTGCCATTTTATTTGTTGACCTTGGGCTTGCTAGCCTCAGCAGCCAGCAGCTGCTTGAGTGAAGAGATGCCTCCAGCTCCAGTGGGTTGGGAGCAAGAGGCAGAGCTGAAGCCCAAGGTTTAGGGGCTTTCACTCAACCCCCAGAGCCTGGCACTTTGAACTCAGACTTCTAGCCTCCAAACATGTAAGAGAATAAACTCCAGTTTGTTAAAGCCATACATTTGTGGCATATTCTGTTAGAGCAGCTCTGAGAGGACCAAAACCCCCTGCCAACTGTTTCTTTTTCCTGAAGCATTTATCATATTTTAACACATACATGGGAGTCTGGGAGGAGCAAGCGGCTTGCAATTGGCTGCTAACCTAATGGTTGGTGGTTCAGACCCACCCAGCAGCTCCACAGAAGAAAGGTCTGGTGAACTGCTTCCGTAAAAAAGTACAGTCAAGGAAATTCTATGGAAAAGTTCTACTCTGCACACATGGGGTTGCTCTGTGTCAGAATCGACTCACAGCAATGGGTTTGATTTTGGTTTTTGAAGCATATTACATAATTTCTATGTTAATATGCATATTGTTTTGATCTGTCTCCCCCTGCCAGAATGCAAGCTCCATGAACAGAAATCTGTTTTGTTCACTTAATGATTCTCAGAACAAATGAGAAGGCAATCAGACGACTGCCTAGACTCCTTTCTACACTACTTTGAAGCAATCATCCCGACGGCCAGATGCCAAAGCCACACCCAGAGGCTTACATGGGAGGGTAGGAGGTGGTATTCTTCACGAAGTTCCAGGGCTCTGCAGGCTGTGGTGGAGCAAACCTCAGGGATCCAAGAGGGGGCTTGGCAAAAGGGACTCCCAGGAAAACAGCCACAGGCTGATCAAAGCCTTCCAAGCTCACATACTTCCCCAGGACTTTGCCATGCACGGTGTCCACCACAGGTGGTGAGGACGGGTGCCCTGCTGGACATCGGGAGGAAATGAGGACAGATCAGTGATGAAATCCAAAACCAAACCAAACTCACTGCCATCGCGTCGGATCTAACTCATAGCGAACCCTCTTGGGTTTCCGACGCGGTATCACTACGGAAGTGATTGCCCAACCTCCCTTCCAAGGATTGGCTGGTGGGTTTGAGCCACCAGCCCATGAAGAAAGCAACTTAAAAAAAAAAAAAAAAAAAAAAACACTTTATGGGACTTCAAGCGCCTTGCCCCACGCCATCCCCAGTTGGTGGCAGGCTGGAAGATGTCCATGTCCCCAGTGTGGGATCCTGGTCTCTGGTTCCAGAGAAGCAAAGCAAATCTTATTCAGAAATTATGGTACTTGACTCTTCTAATCTGCCTGCCTGAGTATGGTGTTAGTTGTAGGTTAAACACCATCTATCATGTTGAGCAAGGAGCTCTGGTGGTATAGTTCCTAAGGCATTTGACTGCTAAACAGAAGGTTGGCGGCAGTGAGTTTTTTTTTTTTTTTTTTTAAGTCATATTGAGCAATTTCCCTTTTCTTCCTAATTCACTGAGAAATCCTTAGAGACAGAATGCAGATTGGTGGTTGCCATGGAGTGGGAGAAGACAGTGGGGGAGAAATTGCTCAATGGCCGAGGGCGTTTAGTTTGGAGTGATGGGAATGTTAGGAACTAAATAGAAGTGGTAGTTGCGCAACATTGTGAACACACTAAGTACCGCTGAATGTTCACTTTCAAATGGTTAATTTCAAGTTCTGTGAATTTCACCTCAATAAATTATTAAAAAATAAATATAAACAAACGCCCAAAGGAGGGCTGCTAGGATTGAGTATGACCTTCAGTTTCCTCTCTTAGACGTCTCTGGACAATTCATCCAGTAGGATCCTGGTGCTGAACTTCATGCTGGATGAGATGAGCAAGAGGTGGGCTCAACTCTCAAAGTGGGAAAGTGAGTCACAGACATACTTGACCCTAATGCTGGGAATAATGGGGTCAGTGTCCTGGGAGAAGTACCAGTGAGGTGCACCAGGATACAAGGGGAGTGATGCTTTCTGATTGATGGCATTATAGAGAGGTAGCATTAGAGCAAGGACTGGCAGGAGGGGAAGATTTGAACAAGAGGAGGTAGAAGAGGGGCTATAATAAAGCTTTTAAGCAGACAGAAGAGAATGCACTGAGGCTGTGAAATGCAAAATGCAAGGCCTGCCTGGGAAGGGCAAGTGGGCATCTATAAAAGGGACAGTCACCCTGCAATGGAAGAGATGCATGGCAGGGAGGGCCTCCAATGCCAGCCTAAGGGTTTGGGATTTATTTGGTGGAATAGTGAGCAGCAGTGGACAGTTCTGGCATAAGGGAGAGTGGCACAATAAGCTTAAAGAAGACTGTGGCTCCAAGCAGGATCACCCACAGGGCACAGAGGCTGGGGGTCAGATTCCTATTTGTTCCAGTTCCATCTGTGTAGAGATGTCCACCAGTCCTGAAAGGTGGCCTTTCAGGCATGTAACTGTGCCCATCCCTCAAGTCTTTCCTTTTCCAGCCCCAGTACCCCCCATGTGTTTATGCATTCTCCATTGGAAATTATTTCTAGCCCCTTGTCCTCCTAACTGGTGGCATAGTGCCTAAGGCGTTTGACTGGTACCCAGAAGGTTAGGTGTTCAAACCCACCAGCCACTCCTTGGAAGAAAGATTGGGCAATTTTCTTCCATAGTGATAGCTCCTCAGAAACCCAAGGAGGGGTTGCTATGAGTTGGATCCAACTCGATGGCAATGAGGTTTTTTTGTCCTCCTAATTGCTTCCCTTTGGAGACAGACAAAATGTCAATAGCTCCTCAAAGTCTGGGCTCAGAACAAAAAAGAATAATGTAGGTATGGCCTTATAGAAGAATATCATATGATAGGGGACAGCTCTGGTGGTACAGTGGTTAAGCATTTGACTGCTAACCAAAAAGTTGGTGGTTCAAACCCACCAGCTGCTCTGCAGAAGAAAGATGGAGTGGTTTGCTTCTGTAAAGATTTACAGCCTTGGAAACCCAATGAGTATCACTACGAGTTGGAGTCAATTTGATGGCAGTGAGTTTGGTTTTAGTTCTTGATGCAAAAGCAGGTACCAAACAGTGTGCAAGTCTGATGCTATTACTCAATCCCACTCTGTGGACATTTAGATTGCCTTCTTCTGTTGCTGCTGCCAGTTATTACAAATAACTCTGCCACGGGCTTCCTTTGATGCACGTTTATCAAAATGGCAATGGGTGACGTCATTACAGGTGACTTATGTTGAAGAAGGTATTGACAGGACTTGATATCTGACCAGATGTGGAGGACATGGTAAGGAAAGGAAGAAGACCAAGGGTCTGGCTTGTGATGCTGAGATGTCAGTGAGATGGCCAGGTGAGAAGGTACCATAGGAAGTGAGCACTCCAAGACTTGAAGGGGGCAGGGTAGCCTCATCTACGTGATGGTGATGGTGATGGTGCAACTATGAGTGGGGTGGCTTCATTGAGGAGGCCAGTGTGAGAGGACAGAGAAAAAGGCTAAGGATAAAAACCATGGGTCATTACAACTGAGCCTGAGAAACTCTATCAGAAGGGTGCAGGGGACACGCACATGCATCCAAGGTTGTAAATCTTTACAGAAGCAGACTGCCTCATTTTTCTCCCTCTGAGGGGCTGGTCTGTTTGAATCACCGACCTTCTGGTTAGCAGCCCAGTGCTTTAACCACAGCACCGCCAGAGGTCCTTCATTAACACACTGAAGTCAGGATTTACAACACATCACAAATGGAGGATAATTACATCAGATCACATCATGGGGAATGATTACATCACTACATAACTGTTAAACTACATCATTACATAGCTGCCAAACCACTGAGAGTTATGGCCTCCCCAAGTTTACATATATTTGGAGAGGGCACAATTCAATCCATGACAAATGGTAACAACAGCAGTGATAGAACTCCAGCTTACATAAATTTAGCCTCACAACAGTTCTGCTAGGTAGGTGTTAATACACCCATTTTACAAGATGAGGAAACTGAGGAAAGTAAAGCAGCCAGTGTGGACTTTCTAAGGATGGAGGTGGGATGCGGTAACCAGCATAAGGAAATGTTCCACTCCAAATCTGGTACCTTTCTTATTGTGCCCTTATACTCAGTTCCAGTCTCTCAATCATGCCACCAACTCTTTTTGCTCCAGAAAGAAGAGAAAATCCAGATGGGGCCTTGGCTGTCAGCACACGTATGGCTAGAGCACTGGCCTGGATTCAGAAGCCAATTAGTCAGTGGTGTCCCTAGGGGGGTGCAGGGGAGTGTGGACTGGGTGACACTGTCGGAGGGAGGGACACCAAAATGGCCATCTACAGAATTTTTGTGCAGTGTATCAGCAGAAATTCATTATAATATCCCTGTAGTTAGTTGTAACAAGATTTTCCTAAGTCCAGCTTACATGCATCAATGTACGTACAAGGCTAAAACTCTGTGCTAATGTACTTTTTGGACTTTCTAATGTACTTCCAGAAGAATGAACAACTCTGCCTTGGATGAAATACAGCTGGAACACGCCTTAGACGGGAGGGTGGGTGAGACTCTAGCTCTCGTACTTTGGTCATGTTGTCAGAAGAGACCAGTCCTTGGAGAAGGATACCATGCTTGATAGAAGGGATGACCTTAATATTTTGTGTAGTGAAAAAGGGATGACCCTCAACAAGATGGATTGACCCAGTAGCTGAAAGAAGGGGCACAAACATAGTGATGCTTGTAAGAATGGCTGGGATGGGGCAGTGTTTCATTCGTCTACAGACAGCTGCTATTAGTTGGGAACGACTCGATGGCACCTAACAACAACAACAATGCCTCTGCTCAGAGCTGTCATTATCACCCACTTACGGTGGTGCTTTGATGGTGCTTTGAATCACAGGCTTTCATCTACAGGCACTACAAGCACATGCTATTGCGTTTGTTACTGCTGCTGGGGTTTGTTTTTTGTGATTTGGGTGAAAGTTTACAGAGCAGTTTCACTTTCCATACAGCAGTTCACACACGTTATCTCGTGACATTGACTACAATTTACCCCAGTGCAACAGCTCCCCTCCCACTTCCTCCCGATAGCTACCTCTTCCCTGTGTCCATCCCTCCATGCACTCCTGCCCCGAGCTGTCTCCCTGTGCATAAGCAGCCCTTCTTTCTCCCATGATTGTTCTCTCCAAGGAGTGTATCTACCTCAGGTACATGTTCAACTCACATGCCTGTCTTTTGTTTGGCTGGATGCCACAGGTGTGAGTTCAAAGCTAGGGACCATAGCTTCAGTGGTTCCACCAGGCTCTATCAGACCAGCAAACCTGGTCACCCCCCCTTTTTTATTTTTATTTTGAGTTTTGTTCCACATTGTTCTCCCTCTCTATCCAGGATCTCCTCCATAGATCTCCCTCAGAGTGGTTGACAGTAGTAGCCAGGCACCATCTAGTTCTTCTGGTCTCATAGTTGTATAAGCTGAGGATCACATGGTATACCGGTCATGAGGACTAATTTTCCATGAATCTTTGGTTTTCTTCATTCTTCTTTTCTCTGGACAAGGAGAGACCTATCGTTGCATTTAGGTGACTGCTTGCACGCTTTTAAGATCCCAGTCGCTACTCGCCAAAGTAGGAGGTGGAATAATGTTTTGTGTAGTACGTTATGCCAATTGAGCTTGATGTCCCCTGTGACTATGGTCTCGAGCCCACAGGCTCAACTACTCAGTCCCTCTGGGTAGCTGGCTGTGACCAAGCAGTGACCACAACTTTGTCCCTTGTCAGCTCTACTACACCCCTGGGAATTCTTACAGAACATACAAATACACTGGTAGAACCATTGTCTGCCAACCCTATACATGGTCTTGGATACACTCACTGCTACAAAGACATACCTAATAGTTCAGCCTGCCCACCCATCTATCCACCCGCATACCTGTGTTTGCCTTCACTGACAACGCAGTACTGGATGTGCAAAAGACTACCGGTGTTTTTATAGTTGCTGATTTTGTCAAATTTTCTACTGTTTTAGCTACAATATTGTTGTAATTCGTATTTGTGAACCTACAGCAATACTTTGTTTTTGAGAATGAAGTAGTAATGGAAGGAAAAGATGGAGAAAAATCATAAAAGGCTTCCACTCAGTTACCACAATGTTATAACTAATCTTGTAGCTCAATGTAGAAGATTTCACAAAACAATTTTGTTGGTAGTATTCATGTAATGTAAGAAACATTTTTGTTGTTGGTGGGTATTGTCAAGTCGGCTCTGACTCAGCAACCC